TACACACACCCCCCCTCACACAGACGATATATTACACACATATATCGAGAATACCCCTACTCACACATATATATATATATATATATATATATATATATATATATATATATATATATATATATATATATATATATATATATATATTGAGCCATTTTCCACTATATACCATTTTCAGTCAATTTTACGTGGAAAATTTTGGTATTTATATTTTTTTCTCCAAAGTATCTAATTCTTAGATTTTTTTAATTTTCTCAATAAAACTTTTTATTTTTGTCATTTTCAGTTTATTTATTTTTTTTCTTAAATTTCTTCCGCTAGTTCAAACATCCTAAGATTACAAACATCTTTACAATCATATTATTGTTGAGAATTTGAACTACCGAAAGACATTAAAGAAAAAAACGAAGAAATTCAAAATGACAAAATTAAAAGGTTTTGGTAACAAAAAAAAAAATCTAAGTAATTAAATGTTTTGAAGAAAAAAAAATATCAAAATTTTTCAAGTAAAATTGATCAAAAATGTCAAAAAATATAGTGGAAAATGGATCAAACAAACCTTTTATTTTTAGTCTTAGTAGGGGTATTTTCGTCAGATTTTGGAAAAAATATAACAGCAGGGGGGTTTTTGTATTTATGTGTAGTACATGGGGGTAAATGATACAAAGTCCATAGTACAGGGGTGTTTTTGTATTTAACCCTTACGGTTACCCCATCAACTATGAATCTTCTTACAACGTGAATGCGGTGTCAAATTTTGTGGAATCTTCTAAGATTATATGCAATATTTTTCTAATTTGTACCCGTTTTATTACATTCGAGTTCCACAGATGATCATAAGATGTGTGTCTCTTGGCTTGTAATATCAGATTGTGGTGCACCAGAAACTGCATTTTTGTACAAAACGATTACAACCTATAGTACATTTCACACAATCCAGAATATTATATTGAATTTGACACCACAAAGGTGGATAATGATGGGCGTGTAACAAGACTAATAGTTGATGGGTGGTTGATAAAAATGTAATTAACTCTTGAGTAGCTACATTGAGACAATTTTTCAAGTACATGGGAGCTTTAATTTACCCTTAATTGTTCAAATTATCACAAATGATTTTAACCAAAAGAGATCTTCCGAATTTGACTTGACTATAGGGAGGTGGTTGTAACTTACCATTATTATTATTATTATTGTTATTGTTATTATTATTAGGTTAAATTTCACTTTTCCTTGTACTTTGGTTCGGTATCACTTTAACCCCTTCTATTCTCGATTGCATCAATTTACCCCCTGCACGTGAAAAATTGTCTCAATGTGGTCATCGCCGTTAGTTTTCAGACTTTTGACACACCGTTTGGTCTAAGATCTGAAAATTACAAAAACCCACTCCTTCCAGTTTAAATAATTATTAAAAAAATTAAAAAATTTAAAATCAATTGTGGTTGTCGCTGTGGACTATGCTTTCTCGATGTTTTGAACTTTTTTATTTTGTTTATTTTTAATTAATTATTTAAACTGGAATTGGGTGGCGTTTTTGTAATTTCAGCTTAGATCAAACGGTGTTAAGGTCAAATGTCTGACAACTAACAACAAGGGCCACATTGAGGCAATTTTTTAAGTGCATGGGGAGAATAGATGCAATTAAAAGTATAAGGAGATAGAGTGATATAGAGCCAAAGTACAAGTGTTACCCTTATTATTATTATTATTATTATTATTATTATTATTATATTATTATTATTATTATTATTATTATTATTATTATTATTATTATTATTATTATTATTATTATTATTATTACAGTTAAACATCTATAAATTAATACAATCGGGACCAGTCAAAATCTATTAATTTAGCGAAATATTAATTTCATGAAATATTTTTTTAACACAATGCCTTCGAGTCAGAACCGAAAAATATATTATTAAACAAAATTATTAATTTATCGATGTTCCACCGTATTATTCGAATTTAACCGATACGATTTTATATCATGGACTTGGACCACTTTGGCCCAATCGTGATACAACTAATTTCGTCATACGACAT